CCAACCAAACAAAAAACATCCAACTTGTCCTGTTTAAGGGTTTAAACTTAGAATAGATTTCAGGCTTACTGTTAAGAGGAGTTTGAGCTTAAAGCATCAACAAAATAAACTTTGCCTCAATTAACAGCACACTTTCATAGCAGAAGAGCAGCGCCTGAGAACTGCATGGAAAAAATCCAATTAAGGCCTGTATCTGGTTCTAATACACTATTGACTAAATCAGAGAAGATACACTAAAGACAGTGTGTTAAATTAGATTAGCTCTACATATCATATTTTAACACTTCCTACCACTTACTGATAGTGCAGGAACAGAGTATTCCACGAGATTACTTAAACCTCTCCAGTTTCTGCAGCTGAATCTCTAGAATTACAGCTCATGTTCAGTATGCAAAGGCAAATTCTCCTGAACATGCAAGTTTCAAAACAAGTAAGTCAGACAAGGCCCTTATAAATTATAAACCAGCTCCCAGTCTGCCATACAGCTGGCCAGTAATCAATGTCTGTGTTTAACAGCTTAAGCCAAGATTTGAAAAAAAAACACAATACGCTTTCAAAGTTTTCTTCAGCCAGCTAAACAACTTCTCCATTTCAACTCTTGATTTGGTATTTTGTCCAGTTAGAGCCATGTAGCATTTCTTAATCCCAGAAGTTTTATTCCCAAAAAAGATAGCTTGATGAATAATTCTCCTTCTCACCTTGTGTCAAAAAGGAACTACCAATGAATTACCATTACGTGATGATAATCATTGTGACTACGGACCAGATTTCCACAGATCAGACTGATCTCTAAGCCTCAAGTCCATAACATGGGGCATGGAGTAAGAGAGTGTTTCTTCCAGCACTGAGAAGAACTAAACTAAACCAAATAAACTCGAGCTTCCAAGCATGAAAACCAGTACAGAATTCCCTAGGTTAAAAATAGCACATTGTTTGCTGAGAGATTATGGTATTTGTTTAAATTTCTCTCTGCAGCTTTTGCATTAAGACATAGAAAAGCTGAATATCTAAACACACTGCAGGGTTACTCAAAAAGTAACAGCTTCAGCCTTAAAACCAGACTATTTCACACAGCAGTATAAACACAGCAATGCAGAGCTAAGCTGGGGCTAACTCACTGTGCCATACAGATGCACCATAGAACGACCAAGGTTTTTAGACAACGCTTACCACAACTACTCAGTAGTGAACATAGAAGAGAGTACATCTGAACATAATATTACACCGTGATATTCCACTCAGCTTGAGGGTATAAGCAAGCTTTATGGTGAGGTCATAAAGCAATTTTTATACTGAATTTATGAGATCATTATAACAGTCATTTCCAGAAGCCAGTGACTGGTTTATTAGAAGACAGCCTGTAGCAAAATTGAAAATGTAGATTGCAGAGAAGTTCAGATGCAATACTGGCAATATCCAGGACTGAAGCACAAAAATTTTAAGGCAAACAAGTGGGGAGGGAAGGTTTAAGCATTAAGACTTATAAATATCCAAACAAGGACATTTCAGAATCAGCGAGAGAAGCATTGATTTACATTAATTTTCATTTGCAAAAATTCACCTTTATTTGAAGACTAGTTCGTGCACAGCATACAGGAATGAAAAATAACTACTCCTCCTGAATATTCACAACAGACCCCTATTGCTAAATCATGAATAAATGACAGCAGAGCATTTTCACCACATGTACAAATTGTTTAAGATCCATCTTGTTTCTTAACTTAAAAACTCCCACTTGCTTCTTACATTAGTCCTTGTCAAACCACTTTAATTGGCTTGACTATTACAAGATAAACCTTAAAACATAATCAAGCAACCATCTCAAATGGCACTGTGCAGGGGACAGGCAATGGCCCACAAGCACTGAATTGTTCTGCAGCAACAGAGAGAGACTGAAGTATCTTTTAAGGATGTTCTAGGGAACTCAAAAAGATTCATAAATGTCAACTATTCAAAGGGAACCTTGGATCATCTCTCTTCTACATATCCCAGCTTGCTATTTTGCTGTTTTAGACAACAGTGTCCTCACTGAGCAAAAACGTCTGCATTTGACAATGAACATATATTCATGTACTCTGAAAGACAGCCAGTCTAAAACCAAGCAAGTCAAAACCAAAAATACAGCAAATTCCTCAGAACCCAGCTGAGAAAACTGGACCAGAACACATTTTAATTATATCTTTAACTGCTTAATTGACTCAATAATTTACAATAACTGCCTGATAGTTTATTTGGAATTTGTCTAGCTTTTATTTTAAGCTACTGGTGATCCTTAATGTTTCTTCCTACTAAAGAGCACTGTCAAAGTGGAGAGAAGTCACAAACAGAAATAAACAGACAGCATTAAACAGAAGAAGTAGACAGCAGGGAACACAGCTGGGTATAATACCTTATCACAGAATGACTAGCAGTCAGATGTAATGTAGTCATCTAAAGAGATGAATGCAATCTCTTCAGTTATGACAGGTAATTTCTTCCGGTCATTTTCCCAGTACCAACTACGTATGTCCAGATACATAGACTTCCTTCTGTGGATAGTCTGGTGAAGTGAAAAATACTTCTACAATATTCTGAAAAGTTCTGAACTTCATAAGCATTTTTAATGCAGGTAGATCAAATGACAGTAGTTTAACTGGGACAAACCGGAATAAGATTATGATTTATGAGTATAGTAACATGGTAAATAGAAATGGAAGTTAGAGAAATGGACATTTGTTTAAATGGAATGAGCCGTGGCAGTAAATCACCCTACAGATGGCGATACCTTACTGTGGTTTTCTCTCTCCTCATCTACAATAGACCAACCTTATAAATACTGGAAAAATGTAAGTCATATTTTTCCTGTCATGGATGTCATCTGCAAATACATGATCAGAACGTTAACAATGTAAGTAATTACAAGCGTAATTTTGTAGACTTCCTCCAGAGCTTTATCCTGTTGGTTATTTTAACACTCTGATTTTTATTATCTCCCCTCTATAAATCATCTCTTCTAAACATTACAAGAAGTGCAAGGTTAGTGATTAAGCCTGTTTTAGAATAGATGTTAAGACAGCAAATTGTTAATTTGGGGCATGCTATGGGAGCTGTACAGCAGTCATACCAATCAGGCTCAATACACAGATAAACTTATTGAGCAAGGAACCCCTTGATGCTGTTGGAATGTGTATTCTCTATTGAACATAGTTTTGATCACCTGCAAGGTCCTTCCATCACAAAATACCAATTAATTAATCAAAATTCATTCCATAAACCTAAAAACAGAATCAAGTATGTGCATTCCACCAGACTATTTCACTATACAGCTCTCCAACACCCTTGTAATACCATCACGTAAGTCTTTGTGAACCTGCAACTTCTTGGTTGCCAGGACAACTGGCTGACAATTGAAAAGTGCACCAAAAGGATTTTTTTCATGTATTTGGTGCAAAGAAATTCTGCATTTCAGGATTTTTAGTCCAAGTTTAAAATAATATTCCTCTTGCTTTCATAAGTCAGAAGTGTCTATAGGTCAGACATTCTACACAAATTCTAAACTTAAAAATTAATGCTGAACATTTTACCCACTTAAATATCAAATTGTTTCCTCAATCATGCTGATTTATATTTATGAGCAATTTATGAGCAATTGGGAAATACCTTGCTCTGTCATAAAGAACAAGGAAAGGCTTTACTAATTTTTCTTTCATATGTTGTCATCATCCTTTTTGTACTGCAGAATCAAATGGTAATGAATTAGCAGTATTAATGGTCCAAAAGAAACATACTTAAAAATTAATAGCATCACCTGTTTATTGATTAAATAGAATTATAAATAACCTCACTGGGCAGAAAGCAAATTCACGTGCAAAGCAAGTTACTGAGAAAAGCAAAGCCTGTATTTGCTTCTCAGCCAAAGACAAGCTGAGCCAAATACTCCAGTGTACAACACTCGATCTAAATTCTGGCTGAAAGACTTAATGCAGAACACAGATCCATGTAGGAAACGTCTCAAATACTACAAGGCATGCAAAACATTCACCAAAGCTATGGAAGAGGTCAATGAAGTCCTACGGTACATTTTTGACAATCTTTTGTTATTTTAGTCTTAAATTGGATCTTCTGCAGATCTAGCCAGTATGAAGCTTATTCCTATTTCACTGCTTAAAACACGAAGTTTCCATCTTCAACAGGCAAGATCTTCAACAGAAAAACAAATGCTAGCTTACTCCAGAGACTTTCTCTCAACAAGCACAGTGCGGTTTCTACCTACACAATTGTTCTTTCATCCTACTTTTATTTTGTTTTCTTTTGGCTCTCTCAACTAGTCTGTTTTATTACTTGTATGAACACCTCTAAAAGGCTTACTACTGGAAGCATGAAGATAAGACTTTGATCCCAAAATGTTTAGAAAGTACAAATCCTTCCACACATTTTAATATAAGAAAACCAAGAATTCATAAAGAAGCACCTTCCTACAGAGTATGTAAGATAAGAAAGCAACATGAGGTGAAGAACTGACAGTTCCTTGAGGATACCATACTGACAACCAACTCTTTACAATTTCTACTGTTACCCTGATCTTGTTTCACCTTTTTATTATTTTGTTCTAATATAATAATCCAAACACAGAACATCAAGCTGCTCTAAAAAAAAAAAAAAAAGGAAATATTTATGAGGCATAGTAACCTTTATTTTTTAATCACACAACAAACCATAACACAGTGCAATGAAAACCACATCTTTTACTCATTTTGATGTCACTCACCTTCACATGACTGAAATCACCAACTTTGCTGCTTTCTTGTGGATTAATAGGTTTAGTCTCTACTCGTGGTTTGACAACCTGCCGGAAAGGACTGGAGAGCGGAAGTCCACTTACACTGATTCCATCTAGAAACAGAAAAAATGGAATTACTTTTGCTTGTCTAATGTTATGCAATGTATCTATATCCGTATTATCAAAGGGAGAGAAGATACACAAAAATAAATATTAACATTTTCTACAAAAAGGCAAAACAAAAAGTAAATATTATTTTGCTATATTTTTCTCTAAAGCCAAAAAAACCCGAACGAGGATACACCTAAAACTCTGTGAAGGTCACAGGAAAGGAAGGTAACTGCATTTGAAATATCACAACAGTGATGTCAGAGTTAATAACATAACACTAGTTTTAATATTTACAATATTAGAAAAGAAAAAAGATAAAAGTTTGTATTTTTCCATGACAGTGACCCTATCAACTGTTTAATACCTTTAAAATAACTTCCTGTATGAGGCCTGAGGATTCCTTTTCCAAGTATGTACTACGGAAAGCGTAGAAAATAGAGAAGTCATGTTTTGTACCATATACTGATGTAAAAATGTATAAAGTATTTGTCATGTATAACAAACACAGAATGGAAAGCAAAGTTTACACTGTAATAGTCAACAAAAAGCTTAACAGAAATGGATAACCTTAGAGGAACGTCCTCAGTTTGATATTTACTAGCTGTCTGTGTACTGGCATATAGTATAGCAATAAAAGACAATATGACAAATTTGTAGTATTTTTTATTGCTGACAAGCTTGTATAACTTGAAGGTAAATAAATACACTGCAGCATATTTGGGTTTCTCACCCTACCAAAGCTACATTCTAAGCACAAACCACTAAAACGTGTGCAAATTACTGCTGAATCAAAAAGTCAGAGGAACAAGAACATTAAAATAATGAAGCTTTAACAAACATTAAAATTAGATTCACAATTTATTATTAACAATTTGTTATTGTTTAGATTTACATCCAAAGTCAAGCAAGATTTTGTTGTTCGGTGCTCTGCAGAGCAACTGCAATCCACAAACACCAATTAAATACAAGCAAAATCTCATCTATCGCAGCAGACACATATACCTAAACATACGGGAAACACCAAGTCATTACACAAAACCCAAGCGTATTTCCTTCTCAAAATTGCTCCTATCAAATTAGAGTTGCTAGTAATCACATTCATATGCCATGGATGACCTCAAATCTGGACCCGTTGCAGACACATTTCTCAAAAGAAGAAATCAGAAGAACAAGATGAAGCATGAAATGGTTCTGCTTAAGTAAAATCCAACTTCACAGGTATCCAAATGAGAAAACAAGGGGCATTCTCTTCGCTAACTAGTTTTAAAATGCACCTTAGTTCAGCCTTAAAGGTACAACACTATGATGAACATCAGATTTGAAGATTCTGATTCAGGAGGCTTACAAGTTTTTAATTTACAATTAACTTACCTCACATGTAAAAAAAAGAAAGTAAAAAGAAAGATTAGTCAGGAACTTAATATTTCCATCGCCAATCATCATCATCATCTGCTCAATCAAACCAGAGCATTCAGGACTTCCTAAAACATCAATAACATCTACAGATTATGGCAAAAGATGAATTCGCATACCCTGACGTACTTCATGTGGGCAAAGCCTGACAACGATGTATTTTTGTGCAGGTTTTGGCTGGGATAGAGTTAATTTTCTTCACAGTAGCTGGTATGGGGCTATGGTTTGAATCTGCGCTGGAAACAGTGCTGAGAACACGGGGATGTTTTGGTTACTGCTGAGCAGGGCTTGCACAGAGTCAAGGCCTTTGCTGCTCCTCACCCCACCCCACCAGCGAGGAGGCTGGGGCTGCACAAGGAGTCGGGAGGGGGCACGGCCAGGACAGCTGACCCCAACTGACCAAAAGGGTATGCCATACTGTATGACATCATGCTCAGTGATAAAAATGGGGGAGGAGGTCGCTTCTTGGGGACAGGCTGGTTGGTTGGTGGTGAGCGACTGTTTTCATTTGCATCACTTGTCTGTCTTGGGTTTTATTTTCCTCTCTGTTATTTTTTTTCTCTTTTCCTTACTTTAAAAAAAAATAAAAAAATTATTAAACTCTCTTTATCTCAACCCACAAGTTTCTTTCTCACTTTTACCCTTCCAATTCTTCCCCCACCCCACCGGGACAGGGGGAATGAGTGAGAGGCTGTGTGGTGCTTAGTTCCTGGCTGAGGTTAAACCACAACATTCTCAAGGCCTCCTCTGACTTCTGCAGAGGATTGCCAGAAGCTGAGTGAAGATGCCCAAAATGCCATTCTTACAGTTGTCACAGTGTGCTACTGGCTCCCTTAAGGGTCAAAAAGATAGTACGAGATGGTACCACTGAAGTAGTGGAAGGAATGATCCAACTCACAGAAACAATTCTCAGTGCTTTAAAGGAAGGGAATTTTAAGGAAGGGAAATTTAAAGGAAGGAAAAATTATTTTGATGGTTCTGGTGACCTTAACACAGAAGCAAAAAACCTAGCAGCTAAACAAAATATGTATTAATTTTTGTGTGGAATGCATGAAAAATGGCCTTTTTCCTCCTCAACCCACAAAAAAGCCCTGAGAGCGAAGCATGAAGGGAACATTTCCACATTGTACTACTTTGAAAGGTATGCAGCGTTAGCCTAGAATTGTTAGAATTCTTCTTTTAATCCCTATGAATGTTCAAATTAAGAGTGTTTATTAATATTAAATATTAAAATGTATTCATTCCACATGGGTCCACTGCAGAAGATCAATCAGCAGCATCTAACTGATAAAAAAGTCAGAAGGGGTAAGTCTGAATAGGGCAGCTACAAATGGGAAGATGATATGAGTTCCTATATGACCATCCCGGAAAACACATCAGCCAAACTCAGTAGTTTTTATTAAGATTCAACTAAAATTAAGAAAGCCTTTTCTCTTATAACATAACTACATTAAATCATGCAGTAACCTAGCCCATCTTCATGGGTAGGAAAGGAAGGGAGATGAGAGTATGAAAGAACTTTGTATGGCCTAGTAGGTATTTTATTTCTAACTTGCACAAGAAATAACAAGGTAGTGAACCACTCCTAGACCAGCTCTTTGCATCTCTTAAAAGCCAACTGCTATTAAAGCAAATAATTTATTAGGCTCAGATTTGAGGCAGTAAGACACTAAAAAGTTTGAGACAGCTTGCCAACAAAACTGATCATAAATCTGTTTGATAGCAGGCTTGAAATCCACTCCTTTTTAATTAAAATAAAAAGGGTTATCTGAGGAAAAATAATTCTTCTCAAATTGATGAATGATTTTCACCAGTTCTATATTTAGAAAAAAAGTTGATGCTAACCAGTGCATAAAATTGGGAAAAAAAAAAAGAACCAAACACAAAAAATTGGATGGCATTAGTCAGATTTTCCTTTTTATATAAGGCACAAGTTTTCCATTCT